AATAAGAGAATGTATATGTTTCATACACTGTGCTGAGAAAAATACATGTATCCTTGTGTAGAATCAGCAAGAAATTTGCCTGCCTTTATTAGCTATGACTCCCACAGATATGAGACTGGGGAGTGATGACAAGAGTTAAAAATTGTTTCATAACTTCAAGGGTTTTTTTCAAGTAAGGGAAAAAAAGAAAAAATTGTTTCAGTCCCTGATCTACCTCCGTTTATCTTATAGGTTTGAAAAAAAAAAAAAAAATTGAGGCTCTGCAAAGAGAATTGATTTGTCCAAACTCAGCAAGTCAGATTAAGGGTAATGAATGGAACTTCTGTTACCTAATGGCTTCCAGGTTTGACTGGGATTAAGGAAAATGAAAATCATAACAATTTTAGGGTGAATAAAGAAGCATCCTGGCTGGGCATGGTGGCTCACACCTATAATACCAGTACTTTGGGAGGCCAAAGTGGGAAGATCACTTGAGGCCAGGAGTTCAAGACCAGTCTGGGAAACATAGTGAGACCCCATTTCTACAAAAAAAAATTTTTTTTTTAATTAGCCAAATGTGGTAGTGTACACCTGTAGTCCTCGGTACTCTGGAGGCTGAGACAAGAAAATCACTTGAGTCCAGAGGTTCGAGGTTACAGGGAGCTACGAATACACCACTGTACCCTAGCCTACATGACAGAATGAGACCCTGTCTCTAAAAATTTAAATTAAAAAAAGAAGCATCCCCAACATCCTGAGTGTCTTGCTGCCATATTGTACTTGCCATACCATACTATCAACTTCTGCTTATCCACACACAGCATGGCTTTCCCAGTAGGTGGTGTGAGAACCAGAAGAGGCAGAGAGCTGAGTTCAGTTGGAAGTCTCATTCAATTGGAAGGCTCATTCAGATGGAAGCCTCCAAGGGGATCATGTTAGGAGGGTGTGGCCAGGAGCTACTCAGACATCTGGAAGACAGGCAGAAAGCATCTCAGCAGGCAGCTGCTTGAGACAGATCTAAGCAGACAGGTCACTTGCACAGTGGCGCGTGCAGAATCGCATTTGTAAGATAAGCATCAATCAAATCTTTCCTCTATTTTGTGACAGTCATATAAAATTATAGAGCTGTCTCCATGGCAAGCAATACAGATGAAGGCCCAGGGACCATCTGGGAAGTCATCCCTGTCCCAGGCTGGGGGAAAGAAAGAAATGGCTGCTCAAAGTGTGGCTGTGAAAAACAAATAACCCTTTCAGTCTGATAGGCAGCAAAAGTAAGCACTTAAGGAAGAAGCCAACTTCAGCCAGGAAACATGGGGGAGGAGGAGGAGAGAGCCCTAAAATCCAGAGAGAAGAGATCAGCTCAATAAATGGAGTGACGAAATAAATGAAAGAACTTCCCTTTTTCCCTTGTATTGGAAAGAACACGAGACTGAGTCCAAGAGACCTGGCATTTGAAAGACAAGCCCTGGCTCTTTCAGTGGTTCTGTAAACTTACGCAAATCACACTCTGAACCTCAGTTTCCTCATCTGTAGGAGTTCATAAAACAGCTTCCTGGCAAAACTGTTGCAAGAATTAAAACCAGTGTATGGGAAGGTGCTTTATAAACCCCTTATTTTTTGTTTTGTTTTTTTTTTTGGTCTCGGTGCTTACTGGTTTCTTCTAGCAAGTCATCCTGAGTAGTGGAACTAGTTTGGGGTTCCAAATCAAACAAACTAGATTCAGTTACCAGCTCTATCATTTATTACCTATGAGACCTTGGCAAGAAATTTTACATGATTAAGAAAGTTTCCTCATTCATAAAACAAGCATTGTTGGGAAAATTATAGGTAATGTGGGCAATACATCTAGAATAGTACAGGAATTTATTGGTATAGGCAAGGGATTGGTTCCAGGACTCCCACATATACAGAAATCCACGTCTACTCAAGAACCACAGTTGGCCCAGTGGAACCCACCTAGACTAAAAGTTGGCCCTCTGAATATACAGACTTCACCTCCCTTCGCTACTGTATTTTCTTTTCTTTTTCTTCTTTTTTAAGAGATGGATGTCACTCTGTCTCCCAAGATGGAGTACAGTGGCCTGATCATAACTCATTGTAGATTCAAATTCCTGGGCTCAAGCAATTATTCTACCTCAGCCTCCCAAGTAGCTGGGATTACAGGTTTGAGCCACTGTGCTTGACCCAGCAAGGTATTTTTTTCTTAATTTTTTTTTTTTTTTTTTTTTTTAGAGATGGGGGTCTTGCTATGTTGCCCAGGCTGGAGTGCAGTGGCTATTCACAGGCGCAATCCCACTACTGATCAGCACTGGAATTTTGACCTGCTCCATTTCTGATCTGGGCTGGTTCACCCCTCCTTAGGCAACCTGGTGGTCCGCCGCTCCTGGGAGGTCACCATATTGATGCCGAACTTAGTGTGGACACCAGATCAGCATAGCACACTACAGCCCAGAATTCAGTGGGCTCAAGTGATCCTCCCACCTCAGCCTCCCAAATAGCTGGGACTACAGGCATGTGCCAACATGCCCGGCCACCATGGTATTTTTTAATCAGTGTTTGGTTGAAAAAAAAATGGGAAGATCAAGTTCACAAACGTTCTGCAGGAAGAAAAAAATAAAATAAGGAAAAAATTGGGATATAAGTGGACCTGCACAGTTCAAACCCATGCTGTTCAAAGGTCAACTGTATATGCAATAGAGCAGGGGCTCAATAAATGTAATTCTCTGTCTTCCTACTTGGAGCATTTCAGCAAGGATGAGGAGAAAGTTGGGCAAATGTGGACCTCACCTTCCTACCTAAAGCCATACTCTACTTTTCTAATTCAATCTGTCTTAAGACCATTCCCCACTGCTGACCCATCACCACCTTCACTGTTTTCCCAGGTCTCTTAGAGCTACAGAAACAGTATCATAATGGCTACCATTTATTGAGCACCTACTAAATGTCAAGCATTCTACATGGTGCTTTCAATGCATTCCATCTTTCACACAACAGATGCTTGATATTCATTTCCTTACTCCTCCAGATTTGAATGAGATAGCCGTGGGTGTGTCCACTGACAGAACGGGGGCACACTTGCAGAATAACATCAATGGGCTCTCTCTTTGTACAGTGTTTTACAGTTTACAAAGTTCTTTTCACCCACATTATCCTATCTGATTCTCACAACAACTCTTGGGAGTGGATGAAGAAATTGAGGCAGGAACACCACCATAGCTCAATTATTCATTAAATCAACATTCACCAAGCACCTACTATGCACCAGACCCTGTGCTATACTTTGGGGAGATGGAGAGAAACCCTAAGGACTTCAAGCTTAGAGGGGAAACCCATTTAAAGATTTTCTATATGTTACTGATGCCTCCCTTCATGTCATAATCTTTAAGAAACTGAAGGTTTATTTCTTGGGCTGGAGATGCTTTTAGATTTTTGCCTTTTCCCATACGGTTTCCTCTGATAGGAACACACTTTCCTCCACTACTAGCTAAATCCTTCATGACCAGGAAGCCTTCCCAGACCCACCCACCTCTCCCACAATGCCTCTTCTCTGGCTCCCACAGCATCAGGGTTTTCCGCTTCTATAGATAGGGCCTTTTATGGCTTCCATTGTCTTCCTCTGTTTATAGGAACAGAACAGGTGGGCACCCACCTGTGCCCCCGCCCACACACACACACACCCTCTCCTTTTACTGTCTCCCATCCCTTTCCCTCTGGATTCCAGGAAGCTGAGGGAAGAGGGCCCATTTTTCTCCCACCCCCTCCACGTCTCTCTCAGCTTCCAGAGGCTGCTGCCCTGCCCTCCCCAAAGTTCCTTCCATGCTTGGACTCCAGAACAGAGTTGGCCTGTGGATGAGTTTTTCTGTCCAAAATTCTTTTCTTCTCTGTGATCCCGGGTGCCAATGTAACAAGGTCCAGTGCCTGTGTCCCCTTGTCAGACTCCTAAGTGGCCAAGACACCGCTAGTGCCTGGGCTCCATTCAAGCCTCCATTATCTTTCCACCCTTACATCACAACCCACACCTGGCCTCTTCCCTAGCCTGACCCAGTGCCCCTCCACCCTGAACTCTTCAAGTTCTCTCACGATTCCTCCACTTGCAGTCACCAGACCCTACTCTAGTCCAGTCTCCTCCCCAGTCCTGACCAGAAAATAGGCCCCTGTGTCCATTTCCAAGGCCACTGTCCTCTTTCTCCACCGGCTCACCGCCCCCTTCCTCTGCAGCCGGGTAGACCCAGCCTGGCCTCTCACTCTTTTATTCTCCCAAGCCCCACCCTTCGCCCTCCATTTACGGTTACCCCGTCGTCGGACCCCTGGGCTCCAGCTCCGACCCCAGCTATCTATACCCACATCCCCCGTAAATGACCCTCTACCGACCAGACACTCCCCTGCTGCCCTTACCCATCCTCATTTTCCATACCCACATCCCCCACCCCGGACCCTCTCCCGACCAGACACTCCCCAGCTGCCCAGCGCCCCTTCTATTCGGCACCTCAGTTCCCACCAGCTCCAAACGACCCCCGCAGAGCCAGTCCCCTCCCCTCAGCTCCTCACCTCCACGCCTCCCCAACACCCCACCACTCCCCCCCCTGCTCTAGCTCCCCTCAATCCTCTCCCTTCATCGCCCCCTTTGCTGCCCCTCGGCTGCTCGGTACCCCCTTTCTGCACAGCCCCTCTACGCCCTCTTCGCAGCTCCCACGCCTCCGTTTCCCCCCGCGATCCCTCACTGCCCTCCAGTGGCTCCTCATCTTTCCCCTCAGCCCCAGCGCGGTCTTTCTCGCTCCCCTCCCGCCCTTGGAGCTTCTCCGGCTGCCCCCACGGTCCGGGAGACCCCCCTCGGCTCTCCCTCCCGAGGCGAGCCTCCACCTCAGCCGCCGCGGAGCCCCTCCCTCGCGCCTCCCCCGGCTCCCCTCCGCTGCCCCTCGCTCCTTCTCAGCGCCCGCTCTCGGTGCCCGGTGCCCAGCGCCCAGCGCCGATAATCGGTCCCTTTCCCTCCGCGGGCTGGCTGCCGGGGCCGCGCCCCTTACCGCGGACTCCGAGTGCGGGACGACGGGTTCGCCCTCGGACGGTCGGCGGGACGGCAGGATCTGGCGGCCGGGAGGGCGCGGGGGGGACCTGGGGACCTGGGCAGGGCGCCGCGGGGGGCTGCGGGCAGGTCGGGTCCAGTCAGCGCAGTGGCGCCTGAGGGCTGAGGCTGGGGCTCCAGAGCTGCTCGGCTCCGGCCGCATCCAGGCCCCGCCTAGGGGCGGAGTCTGCGTTGGCCCCGCCCCGGCCTCAACTCCTAGCAGGTGTAAGGAATCCGAGGTGACTCAGGACCCCCAGATCCCTCATAGCTAGCTGATTATACTGATTTATCTTAATTGTCATGCCTCGTTCCATTGACTGAACTTACTAGGGTGATCAGAGAGCTTTGATGATAATGTAGCTGATGATGGGTAGCAGTTTTGCCATTTCCACACTGCTTTCTGGTCCGTTCTATCATTCTACCTTCACAAAAGCCCAGGGAGGGAGGCTGACTACAAGCGGAAACGAAGCCAGAAACCTGGACGCTGTCTTCTACCGTATCTGTGCTTCCTTCACACCCCACATCCCACCACCTTAACATATCCCTGCCCTTCCGTGTCTCCATTGCCCTTATTCTAACTCCAGCATCATCACTTCTTGCTTGTACTAATACAACAGCTTCCTAATTCCTGCCTTCAATCTCTAATTCATCCTATAAAACCAGGAGGTGGGTTAGCATGGCTATTTCCACCCTTGCACAAAAATTCTTTCTCCTGGGCTCTCCAGTCATACCACCCACCACCCCTCCTCATTACTGACACCCAGTTGCTACTTACACATTAAAGATTACAGCCCCTGGCTCATGGTCATTCTCACTAGCCTCTGTCCTGCCATCCTCCTGGTGCTTCGATAGCTATGGGATTTCCTGGGCCCATTCATTCTGAGTGAGATACCAAAACCATTTTTATACAAACCCAAGCAACTCTTTCAAATGTCATCATGGCTCCGTGCAGTGGCTCATGCCTATAATCCCAGCACTTTGGGAGGCCGAGGCAGGCGAGGCAGGTGGATCACTAGATCAGGAGTTCATGACCAGGCTGACCAACATAGTGAAACCCTGTCTCTACTGAAAATACAAAAGAAAATAGCTGGGTGTGGTGGCATGTGCCTGTAATCCCAGCTACTCGGGAGGCTGAGGCAGGAGAATCACTTGAACCCAGGAGGTGGAGGTGGCAGTGAGCCAAGATCACGCCACTGCACTCCAGGCTGGGTGACAGAGTGAGACTCTGCCTCAAAATAAATAAATAAATAAAAATAAAAAATAAATAAAATGTCATCATGTTATCATCAACCTTGTTTTAAAAAACTCTCAGCTGGGTGCAGTGGCTCACACCTGTAATCCCAGCACTTTGGGAGGCCAAGGCAGGCAGATCGCTTGAGGTCAGGAGTTCGAGACCAACCTGGCCAACATGGTGAAACCCTGTCTCTACTAAAAATACAAAAGTTAGCCAGGCATGGTAGCGCATGCCTGTAGTCTCAGCTACTCAGGAGGCTGAGGCAGAATTGCTTGAACCCGGGAGGCAGAGGTTGCAGTGAGCTGAGATCACTGCACTCCAGCAGTGCACTCCAGCCTGGCCAACAGAGCAAGACTGTGTCTCAAAAAAAAGCAAACAAACAAAAACTCTCAACCATTTCCCATTACCAGGAGGCTATCAACAGGAGTGGGAAAATGTTCTTGCGTGGCCCTAGGAAGTCCCAGTTCTACCAGAGAAGGCAGATACAGGAGGCAGTTAACACCCACCCTCAAATCCTGACATGGACTTCCAGTCTTCCTGAGGTCACAGGCGCCAGCTGACAGCTTGATCTAGAATCATTATCTTTCCCCACAATTCTCCCCTATCTCAAATCTTAGAGGTCTGAGTCAAATACCAAAACCATTTTTCCCCTAAGTTCCATTATGACCCGGTCTACAGTGTGCATCTCCAGCCTAGGAACCACCCAAACTGACAGCCCCTCTGCTTACGTGGCCTCTGCCTCATACACTTACTCTTCTGAGCTTCTTGCCTAGCCCTTTCGCTCACTTTCCCACTTCCCACCATACTGTCAGGCCTTTCCTCTGTGCCTTCTAGAATCCTGTTCTTTTGTCAACAAACTCTCCTATATCCCCCGCTTCTTCAGAGTACTCAGGTGACTTCTTTGCCTGAGGCTCATCCAGGTACTGCCTCCTTTGAAGCCCTCTTATTCCTCCACTCCCTGTATACTATAAAACCAGGATGTGGGGTTGGCATGGCCATTTTGACCCTTGTACAAAAATTCTTTCTCCTGTGCTCTTCAGCCATACCATCCTCCACCCCTCCTCATCACTGACCCCCAATTGCTCCTTATGCATTAAAGATTGAGCCCCTGCTCATGGTCATCCTCACTAGACCCTGTCCTGCCATCCTCCTAGTGACTTCAGTAGCTATGGGATTTCCTGGTCCCTCAGTCCTTGGCCTCCACATCACCTTGGCCACCAGCTCCCATGATCACTCTTGAGCTCTTAATCACCCACTGCTGGTACCTCTGTAACAGCAAAATCAAACATGCTGAGAATGAGAAGGAAGGAGAGAAAATGGCGTCCATGGATTACAGAACCTATAGCCAAGCTGCAGCGCAGCAGGGCTACAGTGCTTACACCGCCCAGCCCACTCAAGGATGTGCACAGACCACCCAGGCATATGGGCAACAAAGCTATGGAATCTATGGACAGCCCACTGATGTTAGCTATCCCCGGGCTCAGACCGCTGCAACTTACGGGCAGACCGCCTATGCAACTTCTTATGGACAGCCTCCCACTGGTTATACTACTCCAACTGCCCCCCAGGCATACAGCCAGCCTGTCCAGGGGTATGGCACTGGTGCTTATGATACCACCACTGCCACAGTCACCACCACCCAGGCCTCCTACACAGCTCAGTCTGCATATGGCACTCAGCCTGCTTATCCAGCCTATGGGCAGCAGCCAACAGCCACTGCACCTACAAGACTGCAGGATGGTAACAAGCCCACTGAGACTAGTCAACCTCAATCTAGCACAGGAGGTTACAACCAGCCCAGCCTAGGATATGGACAGAGTAACTACAGTTATCCCCAGGTACCTGGGAGCTACCCTATGTAGCCAGTCACCGCACCTCCATCCTACCCTCCTACCAGCTATTCCTCTACACAGCCGACTAGTTATGATCAAAGCAGTTACTCTCAGCAGAACACCTATGGGCAACCGAGCAGCTATGGACAGCAGAGTAGCTATGGTCAACAAAGCAGCTATGGGCAGCAGCCTCCCACTAGTTACCAACCCCAAACTGGATCCTACAGCCAGGGTCCAGGTCAATACAGCCAACAGAGCAGCAGCTATGGGCAGCAGAGTTCATTCCGACAGGACCACCCCAGTAGCATGGGTGTTTATGGGCAGGAGTCTGGAGGATTTTCCGGACCAGGAGAGAACCGGAGCATGAGTGGCCTGATAACCGGGACAGAGGAAGAGGGGGATTTGATCGTGGAGGCATAAGCAGAGGTGGGTGGGGAGGAGGACACGGTGGAATGGGCAGCACTGGAGAGTGAGGTGGCTTCAATAAGCCTGGCAGACCCATGGACGAAGGACCAGATCTAGGCCCACCTGTAGATCCAGATGAAGATTCTGACAACAGTGCAATTTATGTACAAGGATTAAATGATAATGTGACTCTAGATTATCTGGCAGACTTCTTTAAGCAGTGTGGGGTTGTTAAGATGAACAAGAGAACTGGGCAACCCATGATCCACATCTACCTGGACAAGGAAACAGGAAAGCCCAAAGGCAATGCCACAGTGTCCTATGAAGACCCACCTACTGCCAAGGCTGCCGTGGAGTGGTTTGACAGTAAAGACTTTCAAGGGTGCAAACTTAAAGTCTCTCTTGCTCGGAAGAAGCCTCCAATTAACAGTATGCAGGGTGATATGCCACCCTGTGAGGGCAGAGGGATGCCACCACCACTCCTTGGAGGTCCAGGAGGCCCAGGAGGTCCTGGGAGACCCATGGTTCGCATGGGAGACCGTGGAGGAGATAGAGGAGGCTTCCCTCCCAGAGGACCTCAGGGTTCCCAAGGGAACCCCTCCGGAGGAGGAAACATCCAGCACTGAGCTGGAGACTGACAGTGTCCCAATCCAGGTTGTGGAAACCAGAACTTCGCCTGGAGAACAGAGTGTAACCACTGAAAGGCCCCAAAGCCTGAAGGCTTCCTCCCACCACCCTTCCTGCCCCTGGGTGGTGATCGTGGCAGAGGTGGCCCTGGTGGCATTCGGGGAGGAAGAGGTGGCCTCATGGATTGCGGTGGTCCCGGTGGAATGTTCAGAGGTGGCCGTGGTGGAGACAGAGGTGGCTTCCGTGGTGGCCGGGGCATGGACCAAGGTGGCTTTGGTGGAGGAAGATGAGGTGGCCCTGAGGGGCCCCCTGGACCTTTGATGGAACAGATGGGAGGAAGAAGAGGAGGACATGGAGGACCTGGAAAAATGGATAAAGGCGAGCACCGTCAGGAGCACAGAGATCGGCCCTATTAGATGCAGAGACCCTGCAGAGCTGCACTGACTACCACATTTATTTTTTAAACCAGAAAATGTTTTAAATTTATAATTCCATATTTATAATGTTGGCCACAACATTATGATTATTCCTTGTCTGTACTTTAGTATTTTTCACCATTTGTGAAGAAACATTAAAACGAGTTAAATGGAAAAGAAAAAAACAAACATGCTCCCTTTCTCCCACAAGGCCCTAGTTTCCTCATTTCAAAATAGATGAGATGATAATGATTATTCTTTCTTCCCAGGAATAATGAGATAGCGTATAGAGCCACCCTTTTAAAGTTGTGAGACAATATAAGAACAGATGGTATTGCTTTTATGTAGCCTCAGTTCTTCTGGTTGCTTTCTCCTTCTCCCTCCCCTGAAAGGCAGTGTAGTAAATTAGAAAGGGCACACACGGGCTAGGGGCCAGGCACACCTGATCTGCAGTCCTTGCTTGCTGTGTGGTCTTATGCCAATTACCTCATTTCTCTCGCACGCACATCCCTTCCTCGTTTGTAGAAAGAGCAATAATGAGAGCTCCTTCTCAGAGTTGTTGGGAAGATCAAATGAGAACACAAGCTACTGGAGAGCACTTGATAGAGTTCTAGGCACAGGGTAAGCATTCAATAAATAGGAAACACTGTGGTTCTTGTAACAGAAAAA